ACAGGATAAAACCCTGTGTAACGCCAGAGTGAATATCAAACGGTTAGGGAGATTGCTATAAATCAGAACTCGCGTAGCGATGAATTGGTTGAAGGACTTTATGCTCGAGATTAGATTTACCCGTACATCCTCTAGTGCTAGAGACTGTATACATGAAAAGCAACCCTCAGTACTCGTAGGCCCATGTTCCTGGCCTGACTATCAGACGCGGAGGCACATGGCAAAAGCACAAGGACCTATCTTCGGACAGACAAGGCACAGAGGAGGAAAGAAATCTGATTAACAGACAGAGAAAATGAATGATGCCTTAACAGTGATCTCCTTAAGTTAGATTGTGGACTTTTCAAGGTAAGCCAGCACGCTGCAGTATGCGAATTAACGTAAAATGAATCAGAGGTTTAACCGCATGATGCTAAGTCGGCAAATAAGTACTCGATAAGTTTGGAGCTGCAACGGATTTACTGCATTCAGTCGGCTTATCACCCTGGTGCACACACGTAATCCTGTGTCTATTATCTCCGCGAGTGTCGTCAAAACTTGACATTGATTTCGCAGTACACGCACTTACGGGTTTGTGTGTCCACGCCTGATCGAGATCAGTGGGCGTTAAATGACTAGTGGCTTGGAATTTGTGGGTTGAGAGGCTGCTTAATATGCAGTCAACGCCTCCAATGAATAGAGCTCTAACAGTTGTGTACATAAACGCCAGAGAAAGCGCCTACGAGGCTAGTCAGCTCATTACAGGACTTGCAAATTCCGATCTAAAACCTCCAACGGACGATCGTCCGGTAAAAGCCTGGTACAGGTCTGAAGCGGAACGGGTGAGTGAAAACCCAAAGAAATAAAACACATGAAAAACGGGCACAAGTAAATGTGCATAAAATAGTATCTTGGTAAGGCTGCAAAACCAGCGACCTTTAAAAACGCTCTCTAATTATTTTAAGAAACTAGCTTATTGGCTTTAGACTACTAAGCCGCCATTCGTCTGTAAACAGTTGCTGACCATAACCGATAGCAATTTGTCAGCCTTGGGTTGAATGATGAATCGCCTCACAGATCAGTGCAAAGAGACATATCCGGATGCCACCCTGTACTTTGGGGAAAACAACTTAGTATCTCATAAAAGTGTTGTCTACAGCCTAGTACATAGAGCCAGAACACACTTCCTTGGGGAATTTATCAAGCGGAAATGGAATACTGGTAAGGATAGATTATGTAAGCCCCTTGGGTTGGAAATGCGTAGCCCAGCCTGGTTTGTTTTTTTTATTTTATAGCTGTGGGAAATAAGCCGTTGTGTGCTAACTACAACGTTCATACGACGAGAAAGTTTTTTTTCAATTTTGTTTTCTTAAATCAAATTACTCTGCTATATAGCGGCCACGAAAATTAAATAAAGCGGAAATTTACTTATTGTTTATATTGTTGCACGTATCTCGCTGCTTTTTGGCGGCGATGACCCACCCTTAACACCCTTATTACTACTATTCCCGTTTTACACGATCCCGAGGTGGGTGGTGGCTAGGGGGCTTACAGAGACTACTGCTGCCGAAATACCTAATCAAATGATTCTCCCAAAATGGGTAGCCAGGTAACTTTTTCCGTCAATACATGAAGTATCAGGGACTTAAATAGAAAGGCCACCCAGGCACCAAAGATAATCACCTAGCAAACTCTCCAATAAGCGAAAAATGCATTGGAGTTTGTCGAAAGACAACTGAAAAGACATCAGATACGAGCAGCACATTAGTAAATACCTTGCGCAGGCAGCCTCTACACCCCAAGGACAGGGTTGGCTATCTCAACAGAAAAAAAAACTTGTCTACAAAATTTCATCTGAAAGTTGTGCTGCCGTCTATTGGGACCAAACTGGGAAAGCTATCTCAACCCGCAAGCATGAACATCAGTTGGCGGTGAGGAGACGAGACCATCCATCTCAAGTGGTCATGCATACACTGGAAACTGGGCGTTGATTTGCATGGGAGAACACTCACACTGGTGGCGAGTGCCCAGCAAGGAAAGACCGTTAAATTGTGGAGGAAATTTATATGGATGAGGCATGTGTAATCGGCATATCGACTGAGAAGCCACACAAAACATTGTCAAGGAAAAAAAGAATGAGAAGTGCAGCCAAGGCCAATGGCGTGGCGGAATACAAGTGAAGCGCATTAGCGCAAGCTTCGACCAGCGACTGAATCATTTTTTCAGCACGATTAGATAGTCAATTATAATTAAAAGCTGGGGAATCCGTCTCGAAAATGTGTGCAGTAAAATTATTTCCATCTTAAATAATTTTCTCTTCCACTACATATATGGAAATCAGGAAACGTGACGACAAAAAGTAATCTACTTCTAACTTGTACAGTCAGGAGTCGGACTACCACTGGCGGATAACGACATATAAAGTAGAAATGGCAATCTCGCTGTCCCCGCCTTTTTCTGTAACAAAATTCAACTGTGAGTCGGCATACTACCGGCGACGAAGGCCTAGCGAAAAAGCGCATTTCCGGTTTATGATTAGGATAGATAAGCGCTCCCCACTCATGCAAAAAATCTGTATGAGTAAATGAGGTATCTAGCATGGCAAATTATGCAGAAAACGAGACCCCTCAGGAAGAACAACAAAAATGAGTTTAACGGCGTCGTCGTCGGCACGGAATCATTATAAATCGGCCGAGACGTCTAAGACATCAGATATCAATTCCGGTATTGCATTACATACTGGCGACAAGATTAATTTCCACTTGGTTATCCGTTACAACTGAGTCACCAGACTTCGGCTACCTAGGGGTGATATTTTTGCTCCTACGGAAAAAGAATCAGCTTAAGTCCTCCACACGCAATTAAACTATCACGGTTTTGGTAACTTGGTGCATGAGACGGAGCCGATATGCGAGAGTTTCTCCTTAAGGCAGCAGGTAGCTGATTTCAGGCTGAGAGCCATAAGGTGGCAGTGTATTGGCACCACGGGGAAGATATCATCGGCGTGATGAGTGCGACCTTCCGAACAATGACTGTACCCAACTGTTTAGTAATCATGTCGTGCTTGGGGTCTGCGAATGGGAATAGAGGCGCTTGAAACTATCACGGCGAGCTAAAAGATGTGGTGCGGAAGTTTGACAGCTGAACTAATAACGCGGACCTCA